TAGAAACAAATAGGGAAAGGTGCAAACAGGGAAGGGTGGAGGGGGTGAAGGGAGGGCAAGGGAAGGGGAAAAAAATAAGAACCAAGATACTCATGTAACGGTACAAGATCCCAATGATGAATGCAACTGTACTTTATACCTAAAATGTACCGATAAAGTTAATGGGGGGGGGGATAAAAAATAAATAAATAAATGGATGCACATGAGTATTTTGGGGGCCCAGGGAAGAATACTATGGTTTATATCTTCATGATCCCTAAAGCCTCATGCACTCAGAGGTAGGATTTATAGAAGGTAATTGGATTATGGGAAAGGAGCTACAGCTGACTTGCTGTTAGGAGGGGGAGGCCTAGTTAGAAGCAGATCATTGGGAGCATGACCTAGAAGGGCATACCTCCCTCCCAGGCTCCTGTCTTCTTTCTCTATTCCTGGCTGCCATGATGTGAGCAGCTTTCCTCCACTCAGGGCCTCTCCACCACACTATTTTGTTGGAGCCTGCTAAACTTGGAAAGAAGCTTCTATAATCATAAACCAAACTAAACTTCTCTTTCAAGCAGTGGGTACCAGGTGTAATGTTCTATTGACAAGGAAAGTGAATAAGACAATATGTAAATCATAATTAGCAAAAGGAAAAGAGGAATAGACAAATTCATAATCATAGTACAGACTGTAGTGCACCTTTTCAAGATGTGATAGAGGAAAAAAGATAAGTGCATAAAGGTATAACAAAATATTTATACATTCCCTAACTGATCTATATGCTATAGTGCAATAGCGCAACAAACAAAAGCAGATGATCACAAGCACGAGGTCCCGAGTTCAATCCCCGGTACCAAAAAAAAAAAAGAAAAAAAAGCAGATGACATTTTTTTTGGTACCGGGGATTGAACTCTGGACCTCACACTTGCAAGGCATGGGGAGGAACCACTGAGCTAAATCCCTGGCCCCAGATGACATTCTTTTTTTGTACACATTGGAAGCTGAGACAGGAGGCTCACACTTCTCTAAAAGTAAAAAATAAAAAGGCTTGTAGTTCAGGGACAGAGGTGCCCTTGGGTTTGATCTCAAGTCCAAAAATAAATATTTTTATGTTCTATATTGGTCAGGGTTCTCTAGAAAAAGAGAACCAATAATAAGTTTTATTATAATGAACTGGCTCACACAATTATTTCAATAACCTTTGGAACTAATGTCCCAGGTCCATCCAAAGACCAAATATTGCTATAGACTCAGAGAGAGCTGTGGCCCAATTCAAAGTCTGTCAAGCAGAAAATCACATCTTACCTGAGTTAAAGTCATGGTTTTTTTTTTCTATTGATATAAATTTTTTCTCTCATCTGGTATTCTTTCTTTTTGTATTTATCTACCTTTCTTTCTTCCTTCGTTCATGGGACACTGCTATGAGACCAACACGCTCCCCAAAATATCGGAGAGCTCCTGCGGGAGACCAACTTGAGACCACACTGAGCAGGCTTTAAATATTATTGAATTGGCTTATAATTTGGCTACTGATTAAAATTGTGAGTCAATCCAAGGCCTACATGTGACTTGCAGAGCCTTCAGCAGGCATATGGAGACAGAATTCCCTATGCCAATGGTCACAATTGAGATCTCAATGAATGATGAAATTCTGATGTCTCTAATAGCAAGATGACACTGCAGCTGAAGAATTATGACTCTGTGCAGCCATTCTTAAAAATCAAATGTTAGCTAAAGATAATGCAGGTGGCTCACTAGCTACTACCTGCAAGATAACATAGGTGGCTTGTTAACTATGACCTGTGCTTCACAAAAACACATAGTTACTCCCCTTCTACAAGCCTGGCTCATTATTGCCTTAAGACCTGCTATTCCTTACATCTAGCTTTTTACGCCTTCTGCTATGTTGTGTAAACAATAAATGCTGAGAAGTCCGAAGAAGATCATGGTCTTAGCCAGGGAAGGTCGCAGATCAGATGGTCTTAGCCAGGAGAGAGCTAATATCAGTAATAAGCTATCATTTGTTTTATGTATATTATTCTTTTATCCTCAGTCAGGTGATTGGCACCCTGTGACAACTCGTCAGGCATCACCTGATAAGCTCCTCTCACCTTTCTAGTATAAAATAGCCCAACTAAGAGTTTTTAACAATTCAGACAAGAAAAAAAATTTTTATTTTCTAGTTCATCAAGATAAAATGTCCAGCTGTGACTCCAAGAATACTTTTGAAACTTGAAGCTATTTTGACAAAATTCTGCACAATATTTGATCGGACCTGACTGCAAAAGAATATTCTGTTAAAGTTGAGGGTAGCAAGATAAAAATCATGCTTGTTGGACCCAAACAAAACAGGAGTTGGGAAGTAATGAAAGGGGAGGGCTTGTTCCTGTTTATGTGAAATAAGTACTTCTTCAAAAACTTTCTAAAATTCTATAAGAAATTTCATCTCATTCTATACATACCAGCTTTACACATCTTATGCAAATGACCAGGTTTCTGTAATAAAGTTTATCTTTAACATTATTTTTCTGGTACCAGAAATCGAATTCAGGGTCTCACACTTGCCAGGCAGGTGCTGTACCACTGAGCTACATTGCCAGCCCTTACTTTAACATTCTTTAAGACTGAAACAAGATGAGGTAGACCAGAGGTCCCCCAAGCCCTGGACTACTCACCACTCCATAGTCTGTTAGAAACTAGGCTGCACAGCAGGAGGTGAGGGCAGGCTAGAGAATGAAGCTTCATCTCCATTTACAATCTCCATTGTAGACATTACTGCCAGAGCTCTGTCTCATGTCAGATCAACAGCAGCATTAGATTCTCATAGGAGCACAAACCCTACTGTAAATTGTGCATGTATGTGATCTAGGTTGCAAGCTCCTTTAATTCATTCCCAAATCACTCCAATCCTCCCCACCATCAGTTGAAAAAAAAGTCTCATATAAAACTAGTCACTGGTGCCAAAAAAGTTGGGCACTGCTGCTCTAGACAGAATATTTGCCCAGCAATAGCGCCTCTATCAATGAGCTATCAATTCTTGCCTTGGGCATCAAAGACCAACTTTGTATCCAAGTAGCTTACATTATTTCTCCCTTTTATCTGTAAAAAAATTTTCTTTGTTTCAACCTCTTTGAATATGCCCATGCTTTGCCATGGCATGCATATTCTTATTGCATTCTTCTGCTATTCCTAAATAAATATCATTATTCCTTGGATGATCTCTCTCTGATTGTTACTTAGGGTAATAATTGATTGCTTTTTGTGGAGATTGCTAAAATCAAAGTCACAACTACCATCACTGAGACATTAGTGGCATAGGCAATGCTAAAGTAGCATATAAACTGCAAAAACTCTGTTTCTTAACACAGTAAAGGTCTATCTCCTGCTTTCAGTACAGTATTTGTCAAACCATCATCAAGGTCACTGATTCTCAGAAATGACTCAAAGATCTAGACTCCTTATTTGTTTCTCCTCTCAGAGTCCTTGCTCCTGACCCTGTGGATGAGTAAGACTGAGAAACATCATGAGGACCTATTAGAAAAATAACTGTTTACATCTCTTCCTTTCACATCCTACTGCCCAGTACTAGGCCTGCAGTCCATCTAAACACACTTGGTCTGGGAAGTGTCTTCTGGTGTGCCCAAGAGAAAGAGAGAAAAGCTTTGTCATCACACAGCATTGTACTACCACAAGCTGAAAATGCATATTCAAACCACTAACAGCATATGTAAGTCAACATTGAAAGATTCACAAATAAAGTATTTGTTCTTACATTTTAAAAATCAAGTCATTGTAATAGGACATAAAGTATGGGAAGTCAAAATAAAGGAACTATGCTTTATTATTATTTATAAGTTGTTAGATCACTTAAATCCATAGGTAAATAGAAGAAAACAGTAACACATGATTTATTTTGCCTCTGGGCTAAACATACATCAAAACTGTAACTCTTAAAGGTCATTGTCTTCTCTGGGATTATTTCAGGCTATTTGCAAAATGGGAGAAACTGTGCACAATATCCAGTATCTTGCTCAAAAACTATGTACCCATTGCATTGCACATGCTGATTTTATCAGTAGTAAGTTATGCATACATATATATATTTCATGGAGTTACAGAAAATTTGAATCTAATTTGATAGGGCATAAAATATTGTAATCTCAATGGTTAAAACCTGAATAATAAAAACAATGAAACTAAAAGCCAATAACTGAAAAAACAAGAATTAAATAGCAGAAGTTATCATACAAAGATTAATCCTCTTATGCAAAATAAATGTCTCTCTACAAGTTATGTCTGTGTTAGAAATTTGAAGAACTAATGAATGAGTTCGAAAACTCCTGGGATTTAGAAGTGTCAGAAGGTCAGAATACCAGTGCAGGTAACTGAAATTTTGAGATTACAAACTAGTAGTTGCTACCGATATTTTGTATTCATTGGAAGAATGAAAAAGGAAAACAACCCAAAGGAACTGTGAGTTAAAAGCTGGTGACAGCAGGAAGGTCCAGAGGAAAACAGTCATTAAGAGTCCTTTGGTGTTGGCTTTTGCAAAACAGCTGACTGACAGGTCTCATGGTTGCATCCAATGTTTTTGGTTTTGATTCTTCTGCAAAAGCATCGATTTACTGCTACTTTACATATATGCCCAATATGCAATCTTCAAAAGGACCCAAGGCACATAAAAAGTTGTTGAAACACAGGGAGCAGACAAGACTCTAAACAGAAGAAAGTTTTCCTTTCTGTGCATCATGCAGTATACACTTCTGCTGAAATCCAGGATTGGTTTTCTTACCCACTCCCCTCATGAGCTGTTTTCTTTCTCTTCTGTCTACCCAAATTCTGAACAATTTCCATCCAGCTCAGTAGCTGCTCTGTACTTCACGGCTTCCTTCACCCCCTGCAGAGAACAAAGCTAAGCACTGGGCACAGTGGAAACAGCATCGTTCTGGAGCTGTGAAGGCAGAAAGGCAATGTTTGTAGGCAACAGCTCTGCCTTAAAGCATTCAAAATCAGTGCATTTTATGATTCAGATTGCATTCTTAATTTGTTAGTTTCATTTTGAGAATAATGTGTTCATAAAAATTAAATAGAGGATGTAATAGAGTTTCCTGTACAAACTAAGGAATTAGATGTAGTCTTTCCCAGTACTGTGCATACATCAGCATTTATACACACACACACACACACACACACACACACACACATGCATCTCAACACTCATATAGTTTTTATAAATTGATGTATAGTTTACATACAATAAAACACACACACTTTTCCATTTTAAGTGTATGATTTAATCAGCTTTAACAAATTTAGGCATGTAAATAACCATCACCCCAGTGAAGATATAGAATCTAACAATCACCTGCAAAATTTTCTCAGCTCCTCTCTTTAATGTCACCAAAACTCTGATTTCAAGTGCCATAAATTAATTTTGCCTTTTTTACAAAAAGCTTTATATGCATTTTGTTGTGGTTTCCTTTGCTCAATATTGTTTATGGGTTTACTCCATGCTGAACATGCATTAGCAGGTGGTGGTTCCTTTTGTTGGCCAAGTAGTATGCCTTTTCTTATGAAAATAATAATTTTTAAAGATCTTCCTATTGATAGATATTTTCAAACATATAACTTTTTTATGTACCAAAGAATTTTACTGTGCAGTTCTTTTCATTTTTACATTTAGAACTACATTCTGGACATGCTTTCCTAAATGTCTATACAGATTTATTTGATTCTTTCCTATGGCTGCATAGTCTTCCTACATGGTCAAATGCTATGTATTACATACTCGAGCCTCTATCTATAGTTATGACTTTCTATATTAAAAGAGTTTTGGGGCTGGGGATATAGCTCAGTGGTTTCGCCGCCTGCTGGACAAGCTCAAGGATCCGAGTTCGATCCCCAGCACAAAAAAAAAAAAAAAGAGAGTTTTATAAATTAAAGTTATTCTTGCTAACAGTTTAAAAAAATTAACATAGTAAAGAAATGTCCAAGATTCCACATATTAGGGAGAACAAGCTGTACTTCACAATGATGACAAGAAAGACTGTTATTAGTCAAGAGGAAGGGAATGAGATGGAGCAGGAGGGGTATAAGAGAGGATAATGGGGGATAGGAATGAGTAAACATATTAAATTTCCCCAAATGTAAAGCTAGGGTGCAAAGTGGGTCAAGGGAGGTAGGGGATGAAAATGATCGCAGTATGTTATGTGTGTGCCCGAATCTACAAAACTGACACAGACTGCTGTAATCTATGTACCCAATAAAAAAAGAGCAAAAAGAAAAAAAAGATGTGTGCAAGATAAAAACAGAAATGTCTAAATCAAAAAAAAAAAATCCTTTCTCAATCCCGTTATATAACCAAGCTGGAGCCACATTTAACAGTTTTTATTAGTTTAAATAATAATATACTTCAATGCTAATTTAATCAACTTTAGAAATACTTCTTGATTCTCTATTGCAAGAGATGAAAATTTCAGTACTTTTGCACTGCTTCCACCTCCTTTATCTCTCTCCACCTCCAGATTTCTATTCTTTTTATATTGTAGACATCATTACTGCTCTACAACAATAATTAATCTTACATGTTTTATCTAGATGTTAATTCTACAAATATAAACCCATGCAATATTATTTTAAACACATGGTATAAAGTTTATTCACTCAAGAACTAACTAGACTGAACAGGACAAAAGAAATAAATGTACTCTCATATTAAAACACCCCCCACCGATTAAAAGTGAACATTCTACATTTTGGAGAGTGGATGAATGCATTTTATCTACTTTTTATTAATTTTTGAAAATTTTCTTTGACCCAAATTTGTATGGAATGTATTTAATGTGTTTATTGTTTTATTTTATGAGACTACCTTCATACAAATATTTGTCTTCATTTCAGGACAACAATAATTAACTTTGAGCTATTACCTTTTCAAGATAATGGTTGGCCCACACATTCAGTTAAGAGTTCAGAGTTGAGCGCTGACAGAGGGGAACTCCATTTCATCTTTGAATGCTTTCAAGGTTTTTATACCCACTTTTTTCCTGGTGTTTTTTAAAACAATTTTCCAGTAACTACCTATGTTTTGACATCATTCATGTGTCCTCCCCACTATTTGGTGAGCTATATCTAGCTATGCACTATTTTCCTTATCTTTATTTAAAATATTATTTTTCCCCACTTTTTTGCTAACAGGCTCTTTTATCTCCTTTAAGCAGTTGGTGATATCTGAATCAATTCCTGCATATCACTTACTTTAATAATTTTAGTATGTCTGTTTTGTCTCTACATTCTGAGCAGTGTTCATTACTTGTCTTCCAGATTCAGTTTTCAGCAGTCTGTTGATATATTTAACTCATTTCTTTCCTTTTTAGTTTTAACAATCATATTTTAAATTCTAATACATTTCTTTTTGTCCAAATACTCTTCTTACAACAATATGATATGAGTTATATAGATCTTATGTTTATTTTAAATATTTAAAATATAATAACTCACTTAATCCTTGTCACAGAGTAGTAAAATAGCTTCTATTATTAACCTAAATTTGCAGGTCAAGAAACCAAAATACAAAGAAGTGTCTCATTCAAGATGACAAAGTAGATTCCAGTGCCCATGTTCGTGAAATATCTTCACAGTTGTTTCTGAAAATGCAAATTTAATTATTAGTGATTGTATTATTATCCTAATTGTCTCTTGTCTTCCAGATCTAGAACTTCTATTTGTGTATTAGCTTTTCTCTAATCTGTTAATTAACTGAATATATTAAGATGACTATACCAATGACTATTACTCCTAAAATAAGTTGTGGAAAGCCCTACTGAGGCCTATGGGTTCCCATAGGTGTGATCCCTATCTCCCTCCAATCTGCTCCCCTTTCCTCACTTGTTTGTGATGAACAGAGAGCAGGAAGAAGTTGAATTAGTACAAACCACATCACTCAAATAACTAATATTTCTACTCTACAGCTGAACATCAGTCATCCCTCACACCACTTTGAAGAGAGACGGAGACAAGCAAATGCAAGAGAAATCATGGGAGAAGCTTTTCGCAACTTACTGACACCTCATTTTTAAAAGAAAAAAATATCTGTATTTAATTCTAAGATTACTTATCTATAAAATCCAGCACAATGTTTTTAAATGAGAATACCTCAAGGCAACTGCATATTTATTGATTATAAGCTCTACTTTTGTACTTTTTAGTGTACAGCTGTGTTAAAATTGGGGGCAATAGCTTACTGCAGAGGTCTTTAGCAAATATGCCTTAATTAAAAGTGACAAAGAACCAAATAGACAACATTCACAAAGACATCACAACCTAAAAGCATCTCTGTCTTTTTATATAAAAAGAAACCCACAGAAAGTCTCAGTGTGGTGTTGCTAACATCCTCGGCTTGGTGACCTTCTGAAAAGTATGACTTTGATTAAAATGCAATTTACTTTTCTGTAGGTAATGGAGAAAGGGTTATTCTCATTAGAGAATACAGAAAAGGGAATGTAGGGGGAGAATGATGTAGAAATAGGTGTTAAGTGAACTGTACAAAGTAAGAAATGCACACTTTAGGAAAATTCTTAGTTAATATATTAAAATTGCAGAAATATATTCTCCGATGACACAGTTTGAAACTAAGGTTGTTTTAAGGTTACAAGGTAAACCAGGTAATTTAATATTTAATTTAGTCAGTGAACTTTATATACTATTAAGCTAAAATAGTTTCATAATAATGTGGCAACATCTTTTGGCAACTACTCCTAGACATAAAGCAATTAAAGACTCCAAGACTTCTCTTTTACATAGTCACTAATTAGTTCATGAGATGATTTTGTTTTTCCAAATTTTTAAAATTTAATTTCTCATCCTAATGAGTGACTTCATGTACACAGTTGATGTGATTTTAAAAATAATGCTCACTCTCTCTTTAAAGGTTATTAGAAAACCCACTTGAACTAAAGCAGCAAGGCAAGTTCCCTCTGCCCACTCATAAAGGAAGTAGGAGATTCATTCTTGAGAAAAACTGAACTGGAGAGGATGTAGATTTGGATACATTAGGCCTGTCAGTGGCAACGATAAGGAATCAGACTGAAAATAGGGGGATTAAGTGAATAGTTGCAGGCAGAAAAGTAGTCAACCCCTCCTTATCCCAGCCTCCTTCCTTGCCTGGCTCAAAGAATATAGGCTCTAAACTTATTAGCAAAACATGCTCATATGCATACACACACATACTGCATCAGGTTCTTGAAAGATTCACCTCTAGAGAAACTTCAGGGATTTAAACAAAGACCTACAGGTTTGTACATTATTGGAAGGAAAAAAAATGGCTGAAGGCATACTTAAGAGGAGAGTAACACTTAAGAAATTGGTAGAAATGGGGCTGGGGATTTAGCTCAGTGGTTTTGCCGCCTGCTGCAGCTGCTGCTCCAAGCTCAAGGACCGGAGTTCAATCCCCGGTACCAAAAAAAAAGAAAAGAAAAGAAAAAAGAAATCGGTAGAAACAATATAAGTGAAGGAAGGAAGGAAGGAATGGAGAGGAGGGAGAAAGACAAGGAGGGAGGAAAACAGAGATTGAGGAAGGGAGAGAAGCAGAGCACCAGGAAAGTAAAGCATTGTGCTACAGAAGCCAAGAAAAGATGGCACTGTCCAGTGTCAGTTGCTGAAGGGTTAGTCAAATAAGAATAGGAGTTTGCTCCCTGTGCATTTCATTTTGTTTTGAAATCTTTCAAGAGCATCTTCTTTAGGGTAATGTGAGGGAAAGCCAGGATCTAGGTTGAGGATTCACCGGCAATGAGAATATTGAAGAAAGTACTGTAGGCCATTCTTTCCATGTGCTTAGCTGTGAGCGATATGAGAAATGTGAAGGGTAGTTGGAAAGCATGAAGGGCTAGCATGAGGGAGGTCTAGCTGTCTGTATCATCTCAGTTTTGTTTTTAAGCAAGAGGCTTCCTGGCATCTGAGTCCTAACATTTTTTCGATTTTTTTTTATTACTACGTTTGCTGTATATAATGATCACATTCCTTGTGGGGACTTAGTACATGTAAATAAAACATCTCAGTTCTTTTTTTCAACTCCTTCCCTATCTCTCCTCCATGTTAGCTCCATCTCTTCATCCTCTTTCCATTTGCAAAGCTTCTATCTCCCTATTTCCTATTATACATCTTTTATTTTGCTCTTTATTTATATTTAGGATTTCTCATATAAGAGAAACCACAGGATATTTAAGCTTGTGCATCTGATTTATTTCACTTAACATTATGGTATCAAAGCGTACTCATTTTGTTACAAAAGACTCGAGTTTATCCTTTTTATGGCAGTGTAGTTCTGCATTGTGTATAAATACTACATTTTCTTTATCTGTTCCTCTGGGTTGATGGCCAAAGATTGTTTCCAAGATTTAGATACTATGAATTGTACTGCTACAAATATGGATATGCATGTATCCCCATAATATGCTGATGCCTTTAACTCTTTCAAGAAAGTATCTAGAAGGAGAATAGCTGGGTCAAAAGGAATTTCTTGTTTTAGTTTTTTTTTAAGAATCTCCACATTGATTTCCACAGTGGTTGTACTAGTTTACACTCCCAGCAACAATTTAGAAGAGTTCCTCCCCCCACCCCACCCCCGCAGCCTCACCAGCATTTGTTGTTGTTGTTATCATTATTATTATTTTTTGGATACTGGGGTCAAACTCAGGTCCTTGCGCTTGCAGGGCAGGCGGCGGAACCACTGAGCTAAATCCCCTCCCCGGCCCTGTTATTATTTTATTTAAAATAGAATCGCAGTGTTGTTTACAATTACATTCCTCTAATGGCCAGAGATGTTGCGCATTTTTTCATGAAGTCCTTATTGAAAGAAGAAATTGACAAAAGGAGAGAATGAGTAATTAGTGAAGCTAGAGACCACGCCTGAGCCCTGAGGGGGAGGTGCCCATGCAAGGGGAGGGACGGCTCTTTACCTGGAGAGGACAGGAGGTTCACACATTAAGCAGACTATGCCGCAGGAAGATCAAGAAGATTCTTTCTCAAATTCGTTTTCTCTGTTAAATTAGTGATAAAGTCACATGGTGAGGACCAGATACAGCAAGGAGGAGTGGGATCCAAAATAGTCAAGAACTCCATCTACCTCGAGAAGCAAGAGTTGACAGGGAACTGGAAAAATCACCAATGTTGAGTTGAGACTGGAGTCTGAATAAAACTCTGATTGTAATACTTCAAATGTAAATTTAAAAGACATGTTAAAAAATAAAAGATCATGTAAGTTGGGAAGTTTGGTGAATGTTTCATCAGACAGGTACAAGAGAAAGAGAATGAAGTAAGAGGTTTGAAATATTAATAAGAGTAGTAGAGATAATTTACCACTGATCCCTAATATTTCCCTAAATTTGTAGGACCTTTCATTTTCTCTACTTTTTGAAATGTAATTCCTCAACTTGAACTTTATTATTTTGAGCTATATTACAGCCTTGTAATGAATTCTTTTTGTTTAAGTTTAGCAACCATGTTCCTCTTGCCTATAATAAAAGAACAAAATATTTGAAATCTAACACAATTAGGAGAAAGTATATTTATTTTAATAACTACAGTATTGATACTGCCATATATCAAACATATTAATAGGTGTCAGAAAATTTCATAATTCTACCAGAACCATATTTGCCTTCAAATAATTTAAGTTTTTACAAAGGAAGATAAGGAGCATGATAAATAACTATAATCTAAAATGAAATAGGATTAGTGGCATAAGATATCTAGGCACAATGTTGAGGAAAATGAGATAAGGGATATCTCCCTTTGGTGAAATTGTGATGCATCCAAGATTTGGCTTACATTTGGGATGTGGGCAGCTGACTCAGTAAAGGCATAGAGGATCAGAAGAAGTGCACAGAGGGGAGAGCATCAAGTATCTGTGATAATCAATAAGTAGACAAGGTTGTCATGCTTATGGAGGAGAATAATAAGCAATTTGGCTATAAAAAGTAGTAGCTGAAAAGCCACCCTTAAAAGGTCGGTGTTGTAATTTGTAGCCAGAATCATGCTTGGAAAGACAAAGCTTTAAAAGTCACATGTGATGTAGTGGAGCGAGGAAAAGACTGAAATTAAGGGAAAAATTCCAAAGTATTGCTGTAATCCGATAATGAGATAATTGGTTACTAGAATGATGAAAGTTTCAAGTGCTTCCTATCTAATTGATCATGGATGGAAAGGTACGAATCATAAAAGGCAATGAGGTCTTGAGCTTGATAAAGTGCTGGAAATGTTAAAAAAATATTTCACAGTTCTGTATTTTAAACCCTTGCTTTTCTGCCTCCCCTTTCCTGAGTTTTAGGCCCCTCTCCAGTTGCCCACACATCCCCAGCTGAGTAACTGGTATTGGCACAAACCAAGATGCCTAAAGACAATCACTGCTCCTTTTTTCTCTCCATCTTAGAAGGTTTCCACCTCCTCCTGGCCTTCAGTGCCCCTCAGTCTCTACATCAGATCAACAAGGCACAACGGCCCTTCTTCATTCACACTAGCTTCACTGCAGCAGCTTCTTCATAAATCTCCCTGTTCCCATTTTCTGTTCACTACATAGCAGAACACCAATAAACTCTGTCTGGCCTAATGAATTAATCTGGCAAGCAAAATAGAGCTTTCACTGCCATGTCCATCTGCTGAAAACATCTTTTTTAAAAAAGAATGTTACTCCTACTCTCGAGAAATTCTAAAGGATACTCCTTTCCCAAATTTTACCAGGTAAAAACTTTTCCTATTCTCTTTGAATTTTCCAGGTCCACTTTGATAAATGTGTATGCATGAGTGTGTTGGGCAGAGAGGTGTGATTGCGAGCCTGTGTACTCACTAACAGGAGAGCCACAGAGGTCAGGTTTCCCTAGGGTGAGGGCCATGTTCCCCTACCAGTTGCCATCTTATGACCTTCCAATTCCCAGGGATGGAAAAAGGAAATTGAAAAGACAGGTTCTTACTTGTGTCTACTGGGGTAAGATCAGGTAGGTTAGAATGCTCTACTTATCTGTGCATGCATTCAGCTGCTTCATGTTAAAAGATTTCTATCTATTGACATGTCCACACAATGCCTAGATTTAATTCATGTTATTACTCAGAGACTAACTCTATATAGTAGCAGATGCTTTAAAATATAACTGTTCCCACAGATATACACATATTCTGAACCCTGCTCTAGACACTGACACCCCAGCCCTGGCACTTGCCTGCTTCTGTGTCTTCACACCCACCATTCACAGCAGCCCTTGCCCTACATCTGCATCCCCTGCTCCCCAGACTGAACCCTCTAAACAGAGATCATACCTTGGCCCCCAATAAAGGGAGTCTCATCCTTTAAGTTGCACCCCTGCTGTCTGAGATTTCTGTGCACACTATCGATTAAAGTGGGTCAGTGAGGTTTAGCTTGGTGGCACAGTACTCACCTAGCATTCACCGGGCCTTGGACTCAATCCCTAGCACTGCAAAAACAAACAAACAAATAAATTAAATTAAATAGGCCTTTTTTTTCCAAAGGAAAAATTTGTTCAGTCAAGGAACTACAGGTTGTTTGACAACTGATCATCACTGAAAAAAATAAAACAAACTAGAAAGGAGCTAGATTTGTTCTGGCAAAAAGAGATAACCATGATTTTAGCATACTTATAATGCTTATTAAGAGACTGACAACCTACAAACAAGAAACAATCTCAGTTGAATATTGATTAAAAGATCTAAAAATGTTGTGTAATACCTCTTGTAGATGTCTATACAGCAACACGGGTTTTATTTGATGGTAGTGCTCAATTCTGGACCTGTCTGAAGTCAGGCTGAGAGACAGACAGGACAGGAGCAAGTGACAGCTTTCTTAGTTTCAAGGTTAGAACTCTTCGACTTTGCTGTACTTCTGTGTACTCAGGACAAGGTTGGGATGAAATGGCAATGTTCCCAAACATAATAAGTTCAGAATTAGCAGCGATTTATGGAGACTTCACGTTGGCACTATTTGCAGTGAGCCTAAAGAGAATAGGAGGACAGGTGTTTGTTTTATCTCAATGTATGCCTTTCTCCAGGACTTTATTCTTTCTAATTTAGTATAGGTAGCCCATTTAGAGATACATATTTTTACATAATCTTGGAGTAGATTCTTAAGCTCAGGTTTGAATCAATGGTTCATCATTCAATTGTCTCTATATTAGCAGTTTCTGACTCCATCGTTGTTAAAAACCTGACATTGTTTCAAACATCTAAGCCTGCTTAAGGTGAAAATCAAAACCATGCCAGAGACAGTAACCAAAGCTATTTTTTAATGTTAAAAACAAACACGCATGGAGCAGGATTTTCACCAGAGCACCTGACTTGTTTTTCATTCTGTTCTTTGGACTTTATTTTCTTCTTTCTAATCACCATATCATAATTCATCAGAACTATGCTTTACAGGGTACAAGAATGACATGAATGCAATTAAATATTCTCCTGACAAAAAAGAAACTGCTCACTGCAGCTCTGAGGAACTTGATCCACAATGCTTTTGCATATAAATTTGCTTTTGAAAATAAAGCTGCCATATTTCTCTAATGCACTCAAATTTTCTTAAGGCTAATATTCACTTATCTACTCAGCAAATACTTATTGTCTACTGTAGGCCAGATGCTGTTAACAGGGACTGATATTTGATGATCAGAATCATTGTGTCTCACCCCTCAAAATTATATGTAGCATATATTATTGAAGTTCTTAACTCAATTTTGAGCAAATAGGAAGTCCTGTTTACTTTTATGACCATATACCTACAGTTGCTTTGTCTACTATTTCTACTATTTGTCTACTTCCTATTGCTGGGGAATCTCAACAACTGCAAATGTCAAGTGTGAGTGCAGAACACAGACTCCTCTGAATCTCATAGATAAAGATAATGCAGTTGTTATGTAGATTGGTGTCACAAGGAACAGCGAATGAGTTGCTATAAAGTCATATAAAAGTGTCATAAGTTGCCCCAAGAAATGGTTTTTACATTAAAAGCTGAAGGGTAACTAAGGGATTAAGAAGGGAGGAGGAGTTATAAAGAAGCAAATTTGAGGCAAAGTCATAGCATCTATTGAAGTCCTATGGCAGAAGGGAGAACTGTCCTCCGGGGCCTGAGAGAAGTTCACTGTAGCCAGACACAGAATGAGGAACAGAGTTTGGGAGAGCATCTGTGGAGTCAGAATGTGGCACATTTCCTGCTCGCTCGTCTTTCTCTTCACAGGACATGAGTCTGAAGTTCTCCTCAACAAAGGAGAAAGTCATATACTGTCTGTCAGTTGGAGTTTTTGAGTCAATCCTGCAAATGTGTCCTTATTCAACTGGAGTCTGGGCAGAATCATAAAAAGTGATCGTCACCATTTGCAAACAGTTCTCCTTTTTTTCTAGGAAGTATTAGAGGAGCTAGAAGTTTTCATTATGAAAATCAGAGTTAAAGAGTGTCCTAAATCGTCAGCTGCTCCCTGTCACACAGCTGCCCCCTGACACAACAGGTTGCCAAACATGGTAGAGGGAAAGGAGGAAGTCATTAACCAGAGCTGCTCTGAGCTCCTCTGGGCCCACTGCAGACTGTTGACTGAAATGTAACTGCCAACCAGCCAGCCTCCAGACATCAGCATTACCACCACCAGCACCAGAGAGAGCCCCAGGAGCACCAGTTACTGGAGTCACTATGTAGATATGTGTACACATGCATGTAGATATGAATAAACTGATCTTTCCTTTGCTCACAAACGAGTAAAGAAGGTCAAGAATAAATGATATATAATTTTAATCAAAGAAATTGGTGGCTGTTCCTTTGTTTAATATCTCTCTCATTTGCTGGAGTGTAAATTCCCCTAAAGGTAAGGTCCAAGTATTTCCAAATCTTTGTGAACCTGTCAAGTGTCATGTACATTTTCTCTTGTAAGAATTGCCTCTGGTGGAAAACAATAAAAGAAGAGTAGATGTGAAAGAAAAGTTCAGAAAGCTAGCTATGAAATAGGATCACTGAATTAATTATTGTATTTTGAGTTTTGGTATTGAATACAATTGCATAAGAAGAAATGATAGGGTCAAAGAAGAAAGAAAAAAAATACTTTCAGTCTAATACAAAAAATAATAAAAGAATAAAGAAATCTGGGGCATCCAGGAGGAAAGGCATTTCCCTGGGGTCATGTAGGAAAGCAAAGCGTAAAAGGAGTGAAGGCAAGGAGCTAGGAGGATGAGAGTTTTTTGCACATGTTTGGAACAGGAACTACCTGTCCAGACTTACAAGAAGCAAAGAATCAGGCAAAATGAGTCAGATGGCAGGACCCTGAGTGCCATGTTAGATCTGTTTTTCAGAAGGCTGTTAGATAGATTCCTAGGGTACAGTGCGGGTGAACCATTTTAAGAGGCTATGACTGACAGCAGGGAAGAAGCTGGATGATGAAAAGGAAGACAGAAATAAAAGATGGATAGAAAAGATGAAGAATCTTGCGTACTTCTACGAACACCTTTAATGATGGGGGTAAATGTTTATTGAACGAGTGAATGAACAAAATCAGTGTATCAATGAACAAATGACAAATCATCCCTAAAAGAGATTATATAGCTAGAAAAAAGATAGAATTGCTGATTGTTTTGGATATGGAAACAAGCAACTTTTTGTTTTTTGTTTTTTGTATTTTGGTACTGGGGATTAAACTGGGGACCTTGTGCTTATGAGGCAGACAGCAGAACCACTGAGGTAAATCCCTGGCCCACAACTTAGATATCTTAAGTGAAAGGAAAAAAGTATTTTTAAATTCTCATATATGATACATAAATCACCTAGAGTTTGTTCTCTCTCTCTTTCTCTCTCTCTCCCTCCCTCTCTCTCTCCCTCCCTCCCTCCAAAGTACAATGCTATGTGACTCAGTAAAATAAAAGGTATTCAAAAGAACTGAAACTCTACAGATCAAATTAATATTCTTAGTAACTTACTGATATTTGTGAAATTCTCTAATAGACATGAGGCTGATGAATTTCAAATATATTTGGATATTAAATTACATTTAACATAAACTTTCATTCACAATTTTCATTTCCTAAAAATATAATTTACCATCACCCTATCTTGCCCTAAATGTCCGTCATAATGACCTGTTCCTTGTATCAAAATGGCTTAGAACCCTTGGTGTGTCAGATGAGTATTTTACTTCCATTAATGAGGTCACCTTTATCCCCAGCGTATAGCCTGAAAACTCACCCTATTCTAGGGCCCAGAATAAGTAAATAAGCAGCACAGGATCGTGTCACTACTGAGTAAAGGATCCAGGACAGAACTTCTTAGCCTTTCTCTTGTTCCATTACCATGCACTGCTGTGTTGTTCATAACATTATAGATTTGCGTAAGATAGATTAATCGAAAAGTAAATATTTAATTTACCACTTTTCAAAGTTGCTCTGGAATCTGACCTGATTTTAATCATGAAAATGTTTGTGCTTTTATTAATATTGCATCATACAAATGAGTATTTATTATGCATAGCATTTCATAGTTCCGTTGTTTGGAAAATTTTAGAGTTATTTATTTAATACAGATGATATTTTATGCCCTTTCTTTTTAGTAAAATATTACTTGATCTAAAGTAATTAAAAGTAACCCTTTGGGATGTGAAGCCAGATTTTTCCCTCAGATAAAGGAATGGGAGAGGTTTTATTTATTTATTTTTGCTAAATATCTTATGCATGGTAAATATTTGTTGTTTAGCTTATTAACACATTTGTCAATTGATTAAAATAAAAATCAAAGACATTTAAAATCTGGGAAAATCCGCGGAATTAATTATGTTGGCCACCAAATAAAAGTAAACTGAAAATGAACAGCCAAATAGTCTTGCAATTTCCACTGTTAGGATCTGAAATCTCAGGGATTTAATTTGAATTCATAGTGTAGAGTAAGGTAATGATTGAAATACCACCTAAGAAAAGAAAGACTAAATTAATTTATTCTTTCAATATTTAGTAAATGAATTAACTTTTAAAATATTTCTTTGCTACAATTGGGTTAAATTAAACTCTAATTAGATTTAATTCAGGATCCAATATAAATAGAGTATAATTTTTATAAGATATATTATAAATCATGTACTCAAAATATTAATTTTCTAGATGAAAAACTGACCTGTGGGATAAAAATAAGGCCTGAGGGTGGGAGAAGTAAAACATTTTCTTCAACACTTATTTTAAACTAAGTTAGACTGGAATCCATGTTATATACTTATAGTATTCAATATTAACTGTGATAGTTAATTTTCTGTGTCAAGTCGTCTTGACCATGATACACAGATAAGTGGTCAAACATTATTCTGGTCTTTCTGTGTGGAAGTATTTGGGTGAGATTTACATTTAAATCAGCAGGCTTTTAGTAAAGCAAATTGCTGCGGGCCTTTTCTGATCAGCTAAAGGCTGACATCACCTAAGAAAGTAGAAATTCTCCAGCATGCTGCCTTCAGACTTCATTTGCAACACTGGCCTTACAGCAAACTGCCTTTGGATTTAAATTGCAACTCTTCCCTAAATTTCCAGTTTGCCAGCCTCCTCTCTAGAATCTGGGACTCAACAAGCTGATGAGTCAATTCTTTAAAATAAATATCTTTCTACTTAGAGATATGTCCTGTGTTTCTGTTTTTCTGTAGATCCCTAACTAATACATTAATATTTTATTTAAAAAGTTTAGAAGTTACTGACTTTAAAAAGTTATCTATATTATCTATGTAGAATCAAAACAGGATGTATCAGTTAAACCTTGCTAGAGAAACAGTTAATGCATGATATACAAATATATAAGATTTTACGAGATTGGCTTACAATGGCTGCCTACAGAGTCAGGTATGGAAGAGTTCAGAGGATCTGCCTGTACTCTGGAGATCTGAAGGATCCAGTCAAACGCCTGGAGCTCACTATAGTGTCCCATCCAAGTCCACACCAGGAGGCCAAAGGTTCTGTGATAGAGGCTGAAGGGTCTGTGCTGGAGGCTGAAGGGTCTGTGCTGGAAATAAGCAGATGATATCCAAGGTGAAGGTGAAGAAACAAAAGCAAGCCTTCCTTCTTTGTTTCCCCTTTATACCATTTAGGTGACAAGCTGTCCTAGTGTGGGTCTTCTGTCCTCAGTAAATACCCCAGCCACACTCAGAACTATGCTGACCCAATTTAGTTGGATGTTTCTTCCTCAAGTTGACACAGTTACTATCACTGGGGGACAATATACACAAGTATCTTACTGATATAGCTGAATACACACAAGTATCTTACAGATATAGCTGCCAGGAAATTTGGGTGCTAAGTTCTTTCCTGATTGAGTAAACATGGATAAATCTTTTAATTATGCTACTCTTTAGTTTCCACACATATTACTCCATTTACACAGTGCAAGATATTGTCAAACATATTGTGTCATTATTAAACCATTCCAGTTCCTTTTGGCTAGCCATTCAGGTTGAATTAGGCGAGGTTTTAGTCACTACCAATATAAGTATGTATAGTTGGAAATTTACATCCATATCCTTATAAGTCACTCTTCTTTTGCACAATCTTGTGTTATGTTTGCAGTATTTGTCTTCCTGTGCTACAGTGCTATTCTACTACATGTTGGTCAGATGAACACATATGGGGAGAATCAAAGACTTCCTATGACTGATTTTATTGTTACTCTTATTGTCACTTTTTTGTGGTTAGATAACATTTCAGCCCAGGCTAAAGGTCTTATAAATATTAAAATATGAACCAGTTATAGCATTGTCTGGGAACTTTTGTCTTTCTAAGCAGCCAGGAGTGACATGTTATTCTGGCTTTCTGACTAGTATAGGATTCTGAAAGGTATCTATGATCTGTGACTTTCTGAATATTGTATTTGGGAGGAAATTCTCGTTTTGTGTACCAAGGGACCAGCTGATACAATCCATCAAATACTCCTACTTTGAATGGCCAAGGAAGTGTTCTGCTGCTGCCAGAATATTATTAAAGAAAGAAGTACACTTATGAAATATATATCTATACTACTTCCTGTCAACATCTTGCCAGCACAATAGTTTCTAATAAAAGTAATAACTTTTTCAATAAACTTTTGGTTTTAAAATTTTGCTGCTTTTTTGAAATAAAGCCTGTAACTTTCCTAAAACTATTAGATATAAATGTATTTTGGTAGGAAAATTTGAAAGTTTAGGGGCCTGATGATAATAAGATGATACATATATTTAAATGAATAGTAATTTCTTCACTAAGTCATTTGACATCCAAAATGTTGCCAATTTAAGCTTTAACATATATATTCAATCAGAAAACATTTATGTTGTCACACTGTAATAGAAGAAAATCTTTATTTGGAATAACACTACTTTAAAATTTTGTACAGATCATAAACCTATTAACTGTCTTTGCTTGACAAAGCCTGACTTACCTAAGTTATATTTAGAAAAAAACATTATTAGTTCAAAATGTATATCTGAGCAGTGTTTATATGTTATATGTTATGGCTTGTGTCTAGATAGTCCCAAAAAGTTCATGCAGTGGGGCTTGTTCAGAGATGGCTGGATCTAGAGTGTGTGACACTGACACTGGGATTGATTCATTGTACAATGCTAGGTTCAAGAGTCCTAGGATTAAGGGTGTGAGTGCTACCCACCCTAAGTAACCTGGATAAGATATAAGGGATAGAAAGAGCTGTGGTCATCCCTTGTTGCTTTGCTACCTTCTGCCTGCCATGAATTTTTTCTCCTCTGAGATGCCATCCTCCCTTGAGCCAGTCAATTTATGGACTGGAACCTCTACAAACTGTGAGCTAAATAAGCCTTTCCTCCTTTAACTTTGGGTCCTGGGTATTTTGTCTCAACAATGAGAAAATAGCTAAGATATTATGAAACAATTTGAATTGCAAAGACTGGGCGTATGTTTCATTTTTGTTTGTCTAAATGACAAATGACACTTAATAGGTAATAAGTTATTTGGGAGCTTTGAATATTTCCAATGGATGAGTAATTAATTTAATAACTGTCACATTAAGTGTAACCTTCCATTTCGCTGTTTAATATGTTTGCTACATATGAGTAGAAAGAATATAGTTTTACATGATATGTGTAGGTTTTTTGCTACCGTTTTTTTCTCATACTACTTAGGTACAACCAAGACTTAGTTTCCTTACAAGTAGAAAACAAAATATGCCTTTTTAATGCAGACCCCACTCAAAAAGTTTTAATGTTTTTATTTATTCATTCATTTTTTGTTTCTTTGTTTTTAGAGACAGGGTCTTAGTTAGTACTTGAATGGGAGACAGGGTCTCACTACTCACTGAATAGCACACTCTGGCTTCAAACTCATGATGATTCTCCTGTCTCAGCCTTCTGAGTTCTGGGATTACAGGTGAGAAAGATTTTAAAAATTTAAGACTTCTTTTTAGTTTTAAAACTTTTAACATTAGAATCAAAGAAGTTGCAGTTTGTGAGTTAGCATTGATCTTGTGAAAATAAATTCAATTCAGATTTGATGTGTGATGGTTAAATAATCATGCCTCATACCTAAAAGGAACTAAGATATATTATTCTAAATCATAATTATTATATTATAATAATTCTGTTTGTGCACACACATTTACTTGGATAGGCTTTGGCTGAATGCAAGGCTTATTTACATATTTCTTTCAAATGTTTTTGTTTATGAAAATCTAGATTTTGTTAGCACCTTGCTAGCACCTTATTATTACTATTATTGCTTTTACTCATGACAGATATTGTCAATATGAAAATGTTTCTCTTTTATGTAACTAAATCTGAAAGGAAAAAAATAAGAAAAATAGGCCCTAAAAACTTGAAAATAATTTGTCCAATGTTAGGGGCCTCAGAGTGAAACTAAAGTCTTCTAAAATGTTGAAACAAGTAAATGAGGTTGGAAGGTTTGTTGGATAAAAGCCAAGGACAGGCATCAGAAGCCTTGTGTCCCAGATCTCATTTTGTCATTAAATTATAACTTCTTGAAGGTCTTTTTAGACAGTATAGTAAGAAGATTTTGTACACATTCTAGCATGTAGTAGATGAGCAATACATGCATGAGAAATGAGTGAGTAAATGTCAGTGCTGCCTGTGTGACCTTGAGAAATTCACTTAGACCTTCTAAAATCCAATTTCTTCAAAGAAAATTACGTGATTTCAAAACTTGCTAAGATTATAATTGGATCATCTCTGGGGTCTTTCTTCCTCTGAAATCCAATGGCTCATCTTGAATATTACTATGATATTAAAACTACTTTATAATTCTAATATAAGTCCTTTGATTTTTAACGTGAAATATTGATCTATTTGTATGTTCCTGATTACATATGAAGTTAAATAGGGTTGAATATATTCATGTAGGAATTGAGGGAATATTTTTTGTTAGTTTTTCATCTGGCAATGTTTCAAGACAGTTTCATTGTAGCATAAGAAATATATTTATTTTCAATAGTAGGAAACTCTAGTTTCAATTTCTGGACAGCCAGAAACAAGATAATCAGATTGAGTGACAGATTCATATCATACTTTTTAATATACAGTATTCTTAAAGCAAGATATTAATTTCAATATCCTTTTAGATGGCCCTTTCAAAAATATTTTTGGCCTATTATGATATTAAATCTAACACTGGAACAAAATCTTTCTAAGATCTCCTTCAGCTTTAATACTTTACAAGGTTATATTTTTCTAACTAAGCCACAGATATTTCAATTAATTGATATTAATAGCAATTCTATTCATCATGAGTCTATAGAGAAAAACAAGATGAAATAAAAGTCTCTAGAAAAGGTATAGTAATATCTTGCTTATCTTAAAGTCATAAAATGATAAATTCAAGTGTTCAGAACCAGCCCATACACTTGAGAGCCAAGGAAATACTTGTAACAAATGTTGTAAGAGTAAGTTCTTTCAGGCATATATTTAGAATCCATTTACTTCCATTTTCTATGTAATTAAATAAATTTGATTATCTGATTTCCCAGTGCAGAAATAGAAGAGGAAACATCCAGAATTAATACAATGACTGACAAAATTTTAAGTGTACAATAAGCAATGTATTTAGATATTTTGGTAATAAAAAGAAGAAAGCAAATACAATCCATTCATTGACTTCTGAGTCACTGATTGTAGCACAATTACTTATTTGATGTTCATAATCATGATTCATAGACCTAATTATCACTATGCTACATATGTATAAATGTATTTAATTTTATAAATGTTTCCAACAAAAATAGGTGAAATACTTGAGTTAATTTTCATTTACTTCAAGATATCCACTTTTATAAAGACAGATAAAAGTTAAATTTTTAAATATATTTTTTATATATTTTTTTCAAAATCCACCCCTGTGAGTTTTACAAGCCAAGGACTAACTTATAATTCAGTAGAACACTGTGTTGAATTATTAAGTGAAGGTCACGTATTTTTATATAACCACATGATCCTTCATTGTTAGTAAAAGATTAACTTTTACTCAGGAAATAATTTCTAGCTATTTTTCCATATTGGGAACTCAATAAATTATTTTTAAGTATTTAATATGCAACTCTGTCGAAATTCCTATGGATTTAACATTGGGCTTCTGCAGGCTAGATAGGAAAGATTTGAGTTAGCATAGAATTCTACTGCTTAAAATAATTCAGAAACATATCCTAATAACAGTAGAAGTTGCACAGTGCAGAGCCTTGGTGAAAATTAGCAAACCATTTCCAACACCCTCCAAACTTAAGTCTTCTCTAATGTAGTTCCTACCAAGCCTCCAGAGTGACTTTGGCAAGCCCAAAGATCAACCATCCATCCCTAAAGTTCACTTCCTCATACATAGGAACCTCTTCTTTAGCTTAACTTCTTTAGCTCCTATTTTCCTGTCTTTGACCTTTTAATCCTCAAAAGTTGTTATATTAAAATTATTATAAAAATTAAAAATTATTATAAAATTATAATATAAAATTATTATTTATAATTATTATTCAGATGTTCCCCTTTTCTGATTATAACTTTTTTC